GGTGGTCTACATGGATATTTCCTACCCTAAATCATTGAAGATTGTTGTATGCATTTGAGAATTAGTGAGTTGTCATAAAATGTCACAACACAAGTTTTGCACCTGCTGGATCACCTGCTGATGATCACATGTTATTATGGCTGCTACAGATGATGATTCCCCTATAATTAGCCTTTCTAATCTAAATCAGCAGCTTTCAACAGCTTTAAATCATCATCACACTTTGACATTAAATGAATGTTTGATACAGAAACGAACTCATGATTTGCATAGCTGATGATGTTATACTGTGGTCAGTATATCTGGGTCTCAAACAAAACCAGTGCCCTTATATCAAAGTTTTGCTTTAAGATCATTTAGCTGCCTGTCTGTCCCTTGATTATGAAAGCAGTGCGTGTTTGGACTTTGATATATGGCCGATTTACAGAGAAACGCATGCACCGAAAACACTGAATCCAAAGCACAAGCACCATTAAGACATTAATACTTGAATCTCCTTAAGTATTTCTTAATCGCCGTGTGTTTCCTCAAAGGTTCTTTGTTTTTGGTGCTGTTCATTGCACCCAAATATTCCACTGAATGCATTAGATAATCGTTTTGTGGGTTGTTGCCTTGGGCCTCATTTACCAGACATACTGTAAATCAATCTACGAGCAGAGCATTTCAAACTGCAGTATCAACTGAGTCTGGTAACAAGGCAAGACAGTATGACATTATCCTTACCTCAATAAAAAATGTGAAATGTAAATGTAGTAACATCTAAGTAAACTGATTTTATTTAAGTCAAAAATATTATTTAACAACACCCTATTATTTATACATTAGGTTAAACCAAGGGTAAACTAAACTTTTTTTTGTCAACCAAACCCCTTAAATGTAAACTGTTTACTTTAAATATCCCCTGAGATTCAATATAAGTTTATATTTCAATAATTTAACATCAAATTCACGTTCACAGATCTCTGTTGTTGATAATAATATAATAATAATTATACATAATAATTATTATAATATAATAATAATTAGTAGTAGTAGTAATAGTTGTAAAAAATAACCGTGATTTTAACCGTAAAATACTGTAAAAATGCTACAGTGCAAAACTGTTAATTGGTAAACAGAAAGTTCCTCATAGTTTTATTGTTTTTTTTTTCTAATCAGTTATGTACATTAGGGTTTTATGTTACATTTAATGTTGTTAAATTAATGTTTATTGCATTTTTTTTATTTTCATGTGTGTTACCATGATGGTGTTTAATGTTTGTGTGAATGACACTGTGCAGCTTCTTTAAATAAGTATTGCTTATACAAATATTCACTTGTGATGAGCTGTGATTGCTCATGTAAGTCTCATCACTGCTGTGATGATTGTTGGTTGTCAGTGTACAATGGTCTTAAACAGATATCAATACGTCAATAAGTTGGTAATCAACATTTTATCAGAAAACAAAATATGGTTTATTACTGCAAATTTTAAGTTAAGTCTGTAAAACCATTAACGTTCCTACCGTATTTTTAACGGTAAAGTTCTGGCAACCACAGCTGCTGGTTTTTTTACTGTAAAATTTACGGTTTATTTTTTGTTTTAACTCAAACTATATGAATATAGAAATATATTGTACAATTGTACTGTAAAAATAAGAAAATTAATATATTGTAATTATAATCATTTGGCACTGAAACATACGGCGCATCATACATGTACATTATTTTAAATATTAATTATTATTAGCTTTTCATTAACTCACAAACTTCTGTTTGGGAAAACCTGGGTTAAAACTAAATGTGAGGGGTAGATCAGATTGCTCCTTAAATTTGTTACAGTGTTGAACAGAGCCTTTGAACCAGAAGGATTCTTCCTGGGAAATTTGGTTTTCAAATCAAGTTCAAAATTAAGCATTTAACCTGCTCTATTCAGTTCATTAGATGATTCTGTGCCACCATCTTTTCCAAAAACAAAAGGACTAATCACTAACAAACAAACATACAATGAAAAATATTAGGAGATTTTCTCAAAAGGAGGTCAGATTAATTTTCTAGACTGCCAAGCATGTGAACAGATGTCTAACGGTCTGGGTACAGTGTGCTTGTTTGCACTGTCCCAATCTTTCTAAATGTGCTCAAATATCCATTAAGTATACTTAAAATTGTCAGCGTTGTGGTGAGGTAGATTTTAAATCACAGTCCACGAGTCCTGCTTCTTATTAGAAAGAGGCTTAACCTCTTTTTAATAACAGCCACTCTTTTTATCAGTAAAATTAATAAAGTATTCTGCTGTCCACATCATGTGATGCATCATGGCAGTCTACATTCTTTATAAATTAAAAAATATATATATATGTCAACACAGAAACAAGGACATGCTTCATTGTTTAAACAAGTCAAGTCAAGTCACATTTATTTATATAGCGCTTTTCACAATACAGATTGTATCAAAGCAGCTTCACAGTGATAACATGAAAGTAGCACAACACAGATCAACAACATTGCTAACCACTAAATAACCCCAACTGAGCAAGCTCAAAGCAAGCCAAAAGCAAGGCGACAGTGGCAAGGAACCAAACTCCATCAGATTGGATGGAGAAAAAACCTTGGGAGAACCCAGGCTCAGTCGGGGGCCAGTTCTCCTCTGGCTTACATTCATATTGTTTAAATATAAATATTAAATATAAATATTGTTTATGAATCAAATGGCGCCATAACATTTGCTTAAATAAATTGTATATGTGACATGATGTGACATGAACGTTCAGGATTGGTAGCAGGCACAACAGTAATATATTATGTCACATATGTTTAAGTTGGGTGAGAGAGAAAAAACATTATAATCACAGTATAGGAGAAGGCTGATCATTAAAGCCATTAGTATTTAAAACATGGAATCAACAAATGTCATCAAGCAAGCAGGGTTGAGCTTTCATGTGGCATATTTATTGAGCTGCTGATCATATGAATAAAAGTCTAAATTAAATCTGTTTGTATAAAGTGACCGTTGTCTCTTCAGGACACCGCTAGATCCATTTGGATTCGTTTTTTTAATGTCTTTTTGTACTTTTTGGTGTGTGAAAGCTTTGGCTGATGTGTTGACTTTCAATGCATGGACATACAAAAATGATGAGAGGATTTTTTTTTTTCAATACCTCATTTCTGTTCAAGATTAATGGTAGTCTAAACAGCATGGGAGTGAGGAAATGATGACAGAAATTTTGGGGGGTGTGAACTATCCCTTTGTTCGTTCATTTCATCCTTCATCCATGTTATTCTCATGAGTAGCCGATTGGATTTCTTGCGTTCTTTACACTCTCAGAAAAAAAGGTACAAAAGCTGTCACTGGTGCTGTACCTTTTCAAAAGGTACACTTTTGTACCCAAAGGCTGCATATTGGTACCTTAGTGGTACATATTAGCACCTAAAATGTACATATTAGCACCTAAAAAAGTACATATTAGTACCTAAATGTACATATTAGCACCTAAAATGTACATTAGGACCTAAAATGGACATATTAGCTCCTGAAATGGACATATTAGTATACCTAACATGTACACATTATACCTAAGTGTACATATTAACACCTAAAATGTACATATTAGCACCTAAAATGTACATATTAGTACCTACTGTAAAATGTACACATTAGTACCTAAGTGTACATATTAGCACCTAAAATGTACATATTAGCTCCTGAAATGGACATATTATCACCTAAAATGTACAAAAGTGTACCTAAAATGTACATATTAGGACCTAAAATGGACATATTAGCTCCTGAAATGAACATATTAGCACCTAAAATGTACATATCAGCACCTAAAATGTACAAAAGTGTACCTTTTGAAAAAGTACAACCCCAGTGACAGCTTTTGTACCTTTTTTTCTGAGAGTGTAGATAGGCTTTGTGTGTTTGTGTTGAATTACATTAAAGTGTCTGATTTATCTTAAAATGATTGTTACTTTGAATGTGCCCTTAAATGGGTTTTTCAGCATGTTTGTACTGTAAATGTTATGTTGGTTATAATCATTAAGAGATTTGGTGTGGTGTATCTGGGTGTGTTGCACACTGTCGCTGACATTGCAGCAAAGACACCACTGAGGGGAGGAAGAATGTGTTACTGAGTGTTAACCCTGTATTCACACATGTTCATTTAGGATCTGAACACACACACACAAATGTATGTAGGCCTATATATATATATATATATACTAACTATTAATAAGCAGTAGGAGTTTATTAAGGCAAATGTCATTAATAGTTAATAGTGAGAATTGGACTCTAATCTGTTTCTTACTAATCTTATTTTAATTGAATCTATATACAATAGCTGTAGAAATTGAAATAAAGTGCATGTTTTTGCTCAGTATATGTGGTAAAACCAAATTAGAACATCATAACCCTCATAAAGAAGATGCCTTAAAAGGACAAATGCATCTACTTTTACACATGAATTAATTATACAAAGTAGCTGAGGCCTAACTCAGCTGAACCAGCATGGAAACAGAGTCTTCCTGTGACGTCAATTGTCTTTTAATAAGTAAAAACCTAGAGGATCGAATGAGACCCTGTTAACAGGTTGCAGTATGATGAGCTCTGGTTTACAGCACTTGGTGTCTTATTCTCTGTTTCTAGAACATCTTTCACCACAGCTGTACAAACCAATAACAATGGACCATTTTAGGGTTCAGCTGCAATTGTGCAGTCTACACATCTTTTCTTCCCTATTGTTACATATATCTGAGTGAAACGGCTCCTCAAACCAGAAAAAAGGTTGCGAGGTCTCGTCCTGTAAACACGTCATCAGAGAAGAGAAGAGATGTTGCTGTAAGAGGGATGTTTTTTTGAATATAGATTGCAAGGACACGTGAATTGGAAAAAAAAAATGATGTGCATGGATGAAGCATTTATAAATACTGCAATATTCCATAAGAAAAAAGTATTGTCAATTTTGATTTCATGGTGATTTTAAAGATAATAAGAACTGTTATGATATGCTACTTTGTTACAGATTCTCGATAAGACTGTTCAGTCTGACAGTGGCATTTTGCCGTGACCTCTTCCAGCAGACGGCAGTCTCTCCTGACTGTAGGACATCAGACGAAAACCAGTGCCATTTAATTCAGTCTGTTCACTCGATATCTGTGATACAGAGACACCTGCATGACAAGACCTGAGCCATATGTGCTGATCAATGTAAGCACTTGTGAATATATATATTGACATCAAAATAAGATTAGCTGCAATATATTTTGTTTTTTCAGAGCTTTGGTTGCATATTTTTGCAAATGTCTGTGTGAAATAGCTGCTTTTTGTGGATTGGTTGTTGCCTGGTCTCCTTGACAACCTCACTGTACTTTGAAGGCTGTTTGATGTCAGTTGCTTTGCATATTCAAATAACAGATGTGGCTCAGGTGAATCACCAGTATGAAAACTATTGTAATTATGTCATTCACTATTTAATGGCTAAACTATTACCAATATTTATTATAGAAAATATTATACTAATTTATAGCGCAGTTGCTTCCAAATGTAAAATAAAAACAATGTTTAGATCAATTACAGCTTAAGCAAAGTTCTTGTTTAGTGTTTGTTATGATTTTGCACACATGTTTAAAGGTGCATTCAGTAGTCCCCAAAGTATTTTTTATTTATTTATTATTATTATTTTTTTTTTTGTAAATTACAATGATAATACAAATGCGTTTTAGAGAGCGGATTACACAATAATTAATTCCTATCTGTCCAACAAAAAAGAAGCAACTTTAGTCTTTATTATGACCTGAACCACATTAAAACACTTGTTTTAGAACTACAGTATTATGATTACAGTCTCATTTCATGTAAGTGTACACCATTATTATGATGCTTCAGAAAAAAACAGTATTTATTTCTAAATGTGTACAATGTTTTAGATGAGCACCAAACTATTGTAAGCTACGAGTTATGTAACTACTGTATAATTAATGTTATGTAAAGGTAATGGTGCCAAATTTTTTTTGCCATGAGACGTACAAATCCCTTGAAAGTGCATTGTGTGAGTCTTCATTAGTGCAGATTTGATTCATCTGTCAAGAACATTTTTACACATATCAGGCTGGCCCCAATGCCTTAAGACGAACAATAGCATTTGGCATTTTCCTACTGGGGCCTTTTCTTGAGTGTACAACCACATCTCTTTTGATGTCTGTTACTTTCTCATTTCCTCTGTTTTTAGGTTCCAAGTTCATTCGCTTGACTGCACCTCAGTAATTTTGATTTTGAATGTGTGTGTGTTTTGTCCTTCCTGCAGATCCAAGGGTTTGACCTCTGACCACACCGCAGTGGGTGAAAGCTTGGAAGTAACAGCTTGGCATTATGGGACTATGTAGAAGAAATGAAGACAAAATATATGAGAATGTCACGACATTGACACCATCGTGTCAGAGCCATGAGTTGGTCAACAGATTTTTGTAAAACAGTTTTGTTCTTTGCACTAAATTCTAATTAAGAATGAACTCCGCACATATTCTGCTCGAGGAAAAACTCATTATTTACATAGCTGTTAGTTGTTATATTAGCGACTATGAGTGAGAGAGACCTTGGGACTCCAGCAGACACCACCTAGAATCAAACAAGGAGGCTGTCCCGATTCGTTTGGCGTTTTATAAACGGGTCTTCTGGAAACGGGGCAACAATTCCCCTCACAGGCTGCCCCTCCGGGACTGGTGTCAGTGCTAATGTAATGCTTGTCATGGCCAGTGTGACTGCTCTGGAGGAGTCCGCAAGCGACTGTACCACACCAATAGTAAATCCACTGCCATTTGAACCTTCTACAACCTCTACAATTGACCCTAGCCATGGACGTGACAGTACTTCCTGCCCTTCGCCAGTACCTCCACCACCACCTCCACCTCCTCCACCACCACCACCCCAGGCACCAGGTCAACACGCTTCACGCAAGAAACGACGGGTACGGAGCTTCTTTTGGAAAACCATTCCAGAGGAGAAGGTTAGGGGTAAACCTAATATTTGGACTCTAGCCGTGAGACAGCAGCAGTATCAGATTGACGTAAGGACTGTAGAGGAGCTGTTCGGCCAGCAGGAGGAAGTTCGAACCCAGACAAGCGGTGGACAATCTCGTCTTGGGAGAACTAGAGGTTCATTTAAAGAGAGCAAGGATGAGGTAAGGCAACCTGGGTAGAACTGAATCATTGCTTGGAATATCTGCAGTTAAAGCTTGTTTGATAGTGTGATTTATCTGTTCTCTACACAAGTATGCAAATGTTTTTATGATTTCATGCAGCAGTCGTGAGACTTTCTTTTGAGAAGATTTAGAGACAGAAATTATAATGACAGTAAAAGTTTATCACAGTTAGCTTTACCACAAGCTGAAGGTGCACACGCCTCATACAAAATACAAAACACCGTCATGGTCGGTAACAAACATGACACTAAAATAATGCAATAAACATTCAATTAACAGCATAAGAATTGCAGAAAACAATTTTCTTCCACAATCATGCTGGTCTACAAATAAATAATAAAGAAACGTGCCATGGATTACAAAAAAACGTACATACTCAAAGTAAACATTTGGAATTTGTGTATAACAAGCAATATTAGACATAATTTGGGTGATCATGATCATTTGGCTATAATAAATTAGCTTAATTTCTATTTTTACCTATGACCCGATACCTATACTTTAAAGCTAAGAGCTTTAGCAATAGTTTTTATTTTTCTATCTGTGGTCTTTGGAAGTCAGTGTCATTAATCCAGTGGAAAAGAATATTTAAAAAAATCACACGTTGAGCATTTGGAAAGTGCTCTGCAATCAGCCATAGACTTTGTTAGTAATTATTTAAGATATGAGAAACAAATCCCACAACCAACACTTAATTATTAACACATCAGCCTTGATATTTCTTCTCAGCTGAATTATATCACTGACAAAAATGAATGCCTTGAAGTGAAGTGCAAGCTAACATAACCTTTACATCACTGAACTATTTGTGTTGTTAAGTGCAGTAAGCTACAGGCTACATCTTCTAGGCCTGCTAGAGTAACTTTATTTAGCTACTTTACCAGATACAGTGAAACTTTTAGATTCTGTAAATTAATCCAAAGTGTCCTTTTCAGTTTATATCCATGTAAACAGTGTACAAATACCTACGGCAACTAAAGAAATCAACAGATTCCAAACAAAGTGGTTATTTTGTATGACGTTTGTAATGTTTCATTTGCCAACAATTTACTATCATGAAGCATAGGTGTTGTCTTATAAGAAGTGTTATTAGGTGTGTGCAAATTAGTTTTCAGACATAAAACAAGCATTTCGCTAAAAACAAACATTCATCCGAAACATATGAGCTTGCCGTTTTGTGTCTAAGCGACCAGCTGTGTTTTTGTGTTGTTTTGTGTGGTTGCCGCTGATCTTGGTAGCTTTGTAATTATCCACGAAGGCACCAAGTGTACCTGTGTAAATCCAATGAAGCATTTTTTATTGTTTGTCTGAGGTGGCGTGGATCATGCGTGTGGCCTCGTTTGTAATTTCAGACACCGTCCTGCTAGTTGTTTGAGTTTGTGATGCGTCACAAATTGCCTGTATCACACACATGGGCCATATAAATGTGTGTGCTAGAGAGAGTGACAGATTGTGTGTCTGTTTAGTTGCCACTAAAATGGCTGTCGTGTTAGTTAGTTAGTTAATGATCTCATGGGACAAAATGAGTCATCACTCTACCGAGGGTTTCCTGGTGCTGATGTTGTGTTAATGAGAATAACAAGTATAACATTTTGTTCTACAAGGGGTTAGTTCACCCAAAAACTAAAATTCTGTCATCAGTTACTCACCCTCATGTCGTTCTAATCCCATAAGACTTTCCCTCATCTTCAAAACACAGATGATGATATTTTGGTAACACTGATGGTCCCTTTTGAACATTCTGTTGACTATTAGTAACTTTGCAACTAACTCTCATTAGAGTATTAGTAGACTGTCTGCTTAATATCTGCTAACTCATTATTGTGATGGTCCCCAACAGACATTCTACTAACTATAAGTAACTTTGCAACAACATGTCAACTTATTAACCATAATCCAACCACTCTACTAATACTCTAATGAGAGTTAGTAGAGTTATTTGTTACTTACAGTCAACAGAATGTGTTAAAGGGACCATGAAAATAAAGGGAAACTATTATTTTTATATAAAGCCGTCATGCTTAAAAAAGTTTTCCAAACTTTCAGTGGATGGACAGAAATGTATCAGGCTATATGAAAAAGATCTCCATTATGTTTCTAAAATTGACAACAGGCTTGAAACAACATGAAGGTGAGTAAATAATGACAGAATTTTAATTCTAATAAACTATTCTGTGTTTCTCATATCATATTTAAGGGGAACCAGTGGCAGTCTGGGTATGGCACACTTAAAAACACAACTTAGTGTGTCTTAATAGTTCTAGTTCTAATAAATATAAGACACATAAGTCTATTGGTTTTCATTTAGTGTCTCATTGTTTTCTAATTACTGGACATTTATTTTGAAACCAAATGCTTACTATTTTACCAAAATAATAATAACTAGGTAAATAAATATTTTTTTAACCTATTGTAATCTTGCACCGTCAAAGATACTAGTTCTATTTATTTTGGAAGTTGCATTCAAATCAACTTGCCACAACAACCTGAAAGTCCCAAATTTGAATGGGAGTGATGCTTCTCCTCAGAACACACACACACACACACACACACACACACACACACACAGTCTGTCCTTTGTGTATCTTTCCATCCGTTTTAATTAACCTCCCTCCTCTGTTCTCCCAGATTAGCATATTGGACTCCAAGAGAGGAATGAACGTTGGAATTTTCCTCAAACAGTTTAAGAAGTAAGTTTTTATGCGTCATAATGTGTAAAAACCTTTGCTTGCATGTGCTTCAGCACAGAAATAGGATCTGGTGGTGGTGATCAATAAACCTAATGATCTTGTGTGAAGATCAATAGCTTTCAGCTTGTGATTGATACTTGAGAGTTCACATGAGGATGCTGTATACATTTACTGTGGAAAGTAGATACAGATAAGACACAAGGTTGTCAGTTCTCAACAAACAACGAGGCCGGAATAAAAGAATAAAACAATGTTTACGTCAGACCTGATGAAATGGGCAGTTGAAGGTGGATGTGGCCTGTGTAAACAGGGTTTTTGTTTATTTTTGAACAGGTATTTCAACATCCTGAGGGCCTATAAATGATTCTGAAAAAAGACAATGTTTTCATGTGTAATCAGATTATATCATATTTATGTTTGTCTGTGATGTTTGTGTGTATTCATTGTGAGTAGTCATGTAGTCATGAAGTCAAGTCACTTCCTGTTACATGTAAAGAGAAATCCAGAGGGGAAAAAAGGCAATGTAATTATCATGTTTGTGTTTTTTTTTTTTTTTTTTTTTTTACTTAACCCTTGTGCGTCCTTATGGACATTTTTGTCCTTTTCAGTTTTGTTTTTTTGATCACTTTGACTGTGTTAAAGCTAACTGCAAAAAACTTGGCACAGGTGTGTATTTTTATTGGAATTTTACTATTTCACCGTCATTTTCTTAAAAAAATATTTTTTGCATTAGGTACAAAAAATACTCCCTCTCAGCGCCTTTTTGAAAAAAATGTCCCCATTGAAACCCATTAAAACTGCCATTTTTAATCCCCGGTTCAGTTAAGTATAAAATTATGCAATCTTTGTTAAGAGGCTTTCATTCTGATGGCAAGGCTTCAAAATTTTATTTTTTACAATTTTTTATCAGATGTTGCCATTTTTTTTAAGTTTGGCCAATAAAACAAATATCGCTTTATTCCTGTTTTCTGCTTCGGCATACTACAGAGCCAACTGGATAAATTATGCAACAATATTTGTGTGGGTGTGTTAGTATGGATGTCAGAGTGTGGTTAGTATGTGTGTTATAAAAAAATATGTGTGTGTGTGTGTGTGCGCATGTGTGTGTTTATAATACTGAGAGAGAAAAACTGCAAATTCAAATCCAATCACTGTGAGCTCCACTGGGGTTTTGCTGGGACCCAATGGGGAAAATATGTTACTACGCCCAAACAAACTGTTACTGAAAGCTCACTTTTTGAGATATCATCCTCAAATTTGGAACACAACCTATTTAGATTTATGGCTTTGATTTTATTGCAGTTTTGAGTTCAACCTGATTTAAAAAAATATATATTTTATATAAAATATTTTTTATAAATAATTTTCATAAACTTATACCTATATAACTTTTTTTTGGATTTACTTATTATTATTTTTTTACTTCAGCAATAATCTGCAAAGGGTCTTCTTTAAAATGATACCAAACTTAAGTCTGTGCTCCAAAGCGTCACGTTTTTATGACAGTTTTTTGACATGGACATTTTTGTCCTCTTTTTACCTATGTGTAACTTTTTTAAATTGATGCACAAGGGTTAATATTTATATTTAAATGGATTTGAATGAATGAATCCAAAATGCCTGCACAGTTTAACTATACATATACATAACTCACAATGTCCTTGTAAAGTTAAACGTTTGTATTTCCAAATTGCTTTGGAGCAGTACACTGAAGTATCCTACAATATCTCTACTGAGCTGATGATCAGGCAGAGACACAAATTGATTGTCTGTTTTGAACTTCTGTTTGTCTCCCTCAGGCCTAATCATGCAATAGTAGAAGACATCCGTCTTGGCAACAGTGAGCAGTATGGAACTGAACAGCTGAAGGAACTGCTCAAACTACTACCAGAGGCAGAAGAGGTGAGAACTCTGGCTACATTCACACTGTCAGTTTTTAGAATTAAAGGGTTAGTTCACCCAAAAATGAAAATTCTGTCAGTATTTACTCACCCTCATGTTGTTTCAACCCCGTAAGACCTTCGTTCATCTTCGGAACACAAATTAAGATATTTAAGATATTAAGATCGCTCCTGCATACAGTCCATAGGCTTCTTGAGGTACTGGCTCTTGCTGTCCCTGAAAAGTCATTAAAGACATTGTTAAAATAGTCCAAGTGACTACAGGGGCTCAATCTTAAGTTTATCAAAAAACAAAAAAATGCAAAAAAACAACAAAAATAACGACTTTATTTCAACTATTCACTTCCTTCTCCATGAGCCTGTAAGTCAGTTAACGTAGTGTGATTGCGTAGAGCTACGTCACACGTAGGCTCACTATTGGCCGACGCTGGTCATGTGTGTGTGATGCGTGTGACGTACAATAACAGAAGCTTACGCTATTAAACTAGTAACCTGACTCGCGCAGAGGGAGAAATAAACGAATAGTTGAAATAAAGTCGTTATTTTTGTTGTTTTTTTGCGCACAAAAGTGTTCTCGTCGCTTGATAAACTTAAGATTGAGCCCCTGTAGTCACTTGGACTATTTTAACGATGTCTTTAATGACTTTTCGAGGACAGCAAGAGCCAGTCCCTCAAGAAGCCTATGGACTGTATGCAGGAGCGATCTTAATATCTTAAATATCTTAATTTGTGTTCCGAAGATGAACGAAGGTCTTACGGGGTTGGAACAACATGAGGGTGAGTAAATACTGACAGAATTTTCATTTTTGGGTGAACTAACCCTTTAACAACTGCATTTACTTACAGGTGTGAGTCTCGAAACTTTCTGTTAACACGGCAACTTACACAAGCATCTCGAATACTGTCTGTGTGAACATGCAATCAAATGGGATTTTTTACATGAAATCAAGTCCGTATTCTCTTACCAGTAACCATAGAGACAGTGACTAAAGTGACCAAAGATGGCAACGTCCATAAAATCGAAAAGTTTTAAAACAACAAGAGTAAAATGGAGCGGCCGTGAGTTCATATGTCAAATCTTCATTATTTAAAAAATGAGTGTACAATTAATCCAATCTATCTATAAATGAAAAGTACAAATATACCTATCGTACAAATGCTTTGTGTTTGCTCTGATATTTGAATGTGAATTTAAATCTCTCATCTTCTTCTTCTTCTCTAGGTGAAGAGATTGAAGGAATTCAAGGGAGACCCAAATAAGCTGACACTGGCTGATTCTTTCATGTTCCTGCTGATCCAAGTGCCACGGTAAGAGACACACAAATATACGTTTTCATAATACCTGACAACAACATGACAAAAACGCAAGTCGACTGTGATTGTGTGTTCATGTTTAAAGCTTTGAGGTGTGTATTGAGGCTATGGTACTTCAGGAAGAGTTTCTCCCGTCCTGTACGGTCATGAGTCGTGAGATTAACATTGTGCGTCAGGCTACCGAAGGTAAGAACATACTAGACTATTCTTTGGAGGTTCTGAAGTTTATGTAATTTTCCCCTTTAAGCTGAAGCAATAATTCTATATTTATATTTTTTAGCTAAGTAGGCAAAACATTTTGAGCGTCTATGGACTATAGGTTATTGGGGGATAAATAAACGCAAAGTCATTTTTAAATTATCATATACGCTCTCTCTCTCTCTTGTACACAAACTCACCAACCCATATAATTTGAGGTACCATTCCACCACTTTCAAAATATCTGCTGTCAGGTGTGGACCAATAAACAATAGAGTGAACTTTCATTAGGACTCAATTCTGAGTCATTTTCTATCACTCAGCTTTTTTTACCAAGTGCAACATGTACCTGATCAACGTATTTGTTGATCCTGGAACAATATTCCAATCAACCAATCAGGTTTGAGGGACAAGTTTACAATTTCTGTCAAGTTTAGGTTTACAAATTGGGTTAAACGGGGTGTTTTTCACCTATCAGTTCCTTCTGATTTTAGGGATAACTTATGGGTAGGGAGGGTTAGGTTTACGGGTAGGCATATGGGATTACATTTTCAGACATTTTTGTCTTTATAGACCATTTCACAAGATGTAAACAACACTGGTCCAGAAACACTTCCTGTTTCAGTTTGTAACTGTTTTCTTTATTTCACATGTAAAGAAAATATCTTATTTATGTTTGTTTAACTTTTTGATTCACTTTTAAATGTTCTGTTGGTTGTATTTTATCCCAGCTTTTATGTAGTGTTAAAAAACTGAAACAGGAAGTGCTTCTGGACCAGTGTTGTTTACATCTTGTGAAATGGTCTATTAGCCTTATCAGATTCCAATGGTTCACGAGTCCAACGGACCCATCTACACTTCAATAGTTCTTAAAAATAAAGACATGGCACTCCATTAATCATCAGGAGCCTTTATAAAAACTCAAATTGAGTTTTATTAATCCTGCATAAACAGCAGCGACAGTATCATGAGCTACAGTAGGACACACTGTCAGCAGTTCTTTTCTAATTTAAATGTGCATTGAGTTCCTTTACATTTCTTAGACTGTAGATAGTAGGAAGGAAGGATTGTAATAGCATTTAGAGTGTTGTGTAATTTACCAAATGGCCAGTGATTATTCAATTTCCATGGATTATTCCTCAGAACTGATGACCTGTGAAGAGCTCCATGCCATTCTACACTTAGTTCTCCAAGCGGGAAATATCATGAATGCAGTAAGTCTCTCTTTCTGTCTCCAGCCTTTTTTTCTATTTATTGTCTTCCTTGTGTTCCCCATCCTCTACCCCTCATCTGTCCCTTTTTTTTGTGGACATTTCCCCCTATTACTCTTTTCACCTTTGCTCTTTCCTTTCAACTATTCCTCTCCAAAACAATCCCTGACATTTTTAAATCAGGAAAGGTTGTTAGCTTTTACAGCATTGACCAGACATTGACTGATGTTCTCTGTGTTTTCATAGGGTGGCTATGCAGGCAATGCTTTAGGCTTCAAACTGTCCTCGCTTCTCTCTCTGGCTGATACGAAGGCCAACAAGCCTGGCATGAACCTGCTCCATTTTGTGGCACTAGTAAGTAAGACAGAACCAGATGCACTGTAGTTTTCTCCAGAATTACTAGTAAATGTTTGCAAATGTTTTAGGGAACCAGCCACAGTAATAACAACAACATTTTTTAACTGATTTGATTTGGATTTTTCTTTAACTTTTGTCACAAAGGAAGCACAGAAAAAGGATGAGACCCTTTTGAAGTTCCCAGAGAAGCTAACACATGTTCAGAGTGCAGCCAGGTAACACAAAATATTAGTTTCTAAAAACGTATCTTATTAATAATCTTGTCATTTTATGAAACTTAAAAACTCTATTTTAGAAAATCTAGAGTTTTATTAATCCTGTATATATAATCATAATCATGTAAAGGTCTAGCTACAGTATGTGAGACTACAGCAATATCAATCCAAACTCTTCTGGTTCAACTAGTGCTAATAATGTATTAGGTTTTTATTTTCTTCTAATATTTGCAACAGTTCTCACCTTTTTATGACCCCTTCCTCAATCTTTCTCTGACTTGGATTTTTATTGTTGTAGAATTTCAGTAGAAAATATAGAAGGAGAGTTCTCCTCTCTCTATGTCAAAACACGTTCCTTGGAACAGAAGATTCAGGATGACGATGAGCTGCAAAAGCAGCTGGGTCCATTTTTGCAGGTAAATTAATCATTCCCCTAATTAGAATTCCATAGTAGAATATGTTTTTTGTACTAATGGTTATTTATTTATTTATTTTATGGTTTTATATTTCTATTGAATTTGCTATAATAATTTGATGAACTTTTTTTATGCCAATAAGAATGACTCACCTGCTGCCCTCTTATTTGTTAGAGCTCTACACATGCCCTTCAGGACCTCAAACAACGCAGGCTTGACTTGCGTAAAAAAGGCAATGCCCTTATCGACTTCTTCTGTGAAGACAAAGACACCTTTAAACTGGATGAGTGCTTCAGAATCTTCCAAGACTTCTGTCTAAAGTTCAAAAAAGCTGTAAAGGTAGATATCACATTCACTAACATGCAAAAATGAAAATTTTTAAAATTCTTAATTTAAGATTAAATAAATAAGAGTTTATCCGTAAAGACATTAAAGGAGACTGATAATGCGAAATTAAATTTTTAGAGGAGATACATTTTCTATTTCAAAAGTTAAGGGAAAAAAAAAAAGTTCACTAACAGAAGTTGTTGAAAACTTATTGAAAACATATTCAATTTTAATAATTCTGTGCTTCTCAAACACAACAGAAGATTTTGAAAGCCGCTCTTCTGCCACTCTGTCCGGCGGGAAAGTGACATCAATGCTGACAATGCTGAATCAGATTTTCTGGAGTGAAAACGAACGCAACTATTTTTGTGTGCTATAAACTTCATAGAACTCATCAATAAAATTTTGAGCATCATTCAGACGGGGTCCGCTACAAGAGACTTGTAGTAATAGTAGTTAGTTATAACGGTAATTAAAGGGATAGTTCACTTTGAAATTAATTGTTGATATGTTTTAGCTTACCTCAAGGGCATCCAAGATGTAGGTGTCTTTGTTTCCACAGTATTTTCAATTTTGACATTTTTCGGTCAAACCGTTCTTATCTGTCAGTAATATAATGCAGGTATGGGGGTCCACGTCAAAGACATGATTTAACATGATTTAATGACTCGTAAATGTAAGTGCACATTGATGGCCTAAGACACGAAACGAGCGGTTTGTGAGAGAAAATGAACAGTATTTATATAGTTTTTACCTCGTGTATTCACAGTCACGTCTAAGTGATCTGAATCAGTTGTGCAATGTCCAACTGAACCGAACTGAATCATGTTCAGCGTTCCACCGGAAGTGATCGCTTGCGTGTGTACGTCACTCAATATTTACACACAGATTTCTGAATTTTTACCTTTTACTAAACATATTTAGATATACTGAAATCGTCTTCCATTGTGATTTCCTGTATATCTAAATATGTTTAGTGAAAGGTAAAACTTCTGAAATCTCTGTATAAACAAAGAGTGACGTAGGCGATCACTTCCGGCGCATACGCAGACTGAAGCGCCCGTGCCGTCAGATCAGTTTGACATGGCTGTGTTACACAAGGTAAAAACCGTATAAATACTGTTCGTTTTCTCACACAAACCGCTCGTTTCGTGTCTTAGGCCATCAATGTGTACTTACATTTACGAGTCATTAAATCATGTTTAATTTGGACTTCTCTGTGCATGCTCTTTGAGGTGAACCCAGGGTGGACCCCTTTAACCTCCATTATATGACTTATAGACAACAACGGTTTGACCAAAAAATATCAAAATTAAAAATACTGTGGAAACAAAGATGCCCCTGGATGCCCTTGAGGTAAGCTAAAACATATCAAAAATTAATTTCAAAGTGAACTATCCCTTTAAACGTAACTATACCTCTCCTATCTCAATACAACATATACTATATACTCTGACTCTCTGTAGGCATCATTGTCCGACTTCGGTTTGAACATATTAGGCTGAACACCACTACTGACAGTTTTTGACATTTTAAGTGTGTGAGCTCGGCCATCTTCTTGAAAGGTGGCTGGGAGCACCGGCTCATTTGCACAAAAAGTGTTTTCATTTTAAGCAATTTTAACGTGCTATAAAAATATATGCAGGGTATTTTGAGCTAAAACTTCCCATACACACTCTGGGGACATCAGAGACTTATTTTTATATCTTGTAAAAAGGTAATAGTTAATAGGTGCCCTTTAAAGTCTTTATGAATCATGCTACATCATGCTATCATCTGTCAGTGAACACCCTCTTATAGTGATCTCTTGTCCACTCTCCTGCAGGACAATCTGGACCGGGAACTGAAGGAAGAATCTAGACTGCGACGCATACGGGAACTGGAGGAGAGACGTAGTGCCTGGGGTGCAGCCAATACTGAGACAGGTGATAGTGGAGGTTTTGGTCGCAGCAGCAGCGAAAATGATGTTGACATCCTTACCAAAGAAGGCCTCCTAGACTTCCTGCTTCAATCAAGACCTCAAAGCCCCCACAGTCCTTTGGGCCGCTCGTCTAGTGCCCGCCGTTACCATCACACCTCTAGTGACCGCAACATCCGTGGCTATATGGAGCAGCTCTCTGGGTCTTCAGAGAGCGACTATGCCAAATTCAGCAGCCTGCCACGTTCAGGCAGGAACCATCAAAGAAAGACCATGGCATGGCTTGTCTCACAGGATGATAATAGGGAGCTGGGTCCGCAGAGTCAGGCCTACCAAGAGAAGTTAGCAGCTTCACCAAAGGCAGAGACAGAACCCATCAGTCCTTTAGCTAGATACTCAAGTTTTGGCTACAACATGAATACAGATCCCTATAATAATAATAATACTATCTCTGAAGGTGGAGTTACACCTCAATTAAATAACACAAAGAATATTTATCCGGGGACATCTGGTCATGGTGTTGGACACATGAGTGTTTGTGTGGAGAAACACAAACTAGTTTCTGGCCTTCAACCCTTTGAGATAACCAGCCAGATCAATAATAACAGTAATGTTTCTTTTGACAACCAGCGTGAAGTGTTTGTAACAAATCTGCAAAAGGAAGGCGACCCTCCCAAAGCATTTGTCCTTGATACGCCCCCATCTAGCAGGAGTTCTGAGGGGGGACCTAAGCCAGAAAAAGTATGGAATGACAAAATGATCTCTCCACAGAAGGAGGAAGCGGACACAAGCACCTTTTCCTCTACAACTTGTGACACCCCTTTGCCCCTTGATTCCTCTGTGTCCGGCAAGAAACCTGGATTGTATGTCATGGACTGCACTGAAACTGATTGTTCCATTGTGTTGGACTGTTCTGAGATTGAGAGTTCCCCTATCATGAAAGAAGGATTAGGACTTAACCAAAAGCCACAGGATGCCAACTATCCAAGAGTCGTTCAGGACACCAATTCTCTATCTTCCAATTTTGAGTCCACTGATTGTCACTTTGTGTCCTTATCAAGTGATGAACCACTAGCAGGAGGCTTTGATCAAGCATGTCTAGAATCAGTCAGTCTATCTGTAAATACTGAAGAAACAGAGACAGATAGCTGTGACACAGCTGAAGGCCGAAGAGTTGGTGAGAAAGCAGTCCAGACCAGTATCCCCAGAACACTTGTCAAAACCAAGTCTCCATTCAAAGTGATTGCTCATGCCAGTCGTCCTACAAGAACCCTCACAGCAACTGAGACTCAAAACATGCGCAAAGTGGTGCCAATTACAAGGCAGAATCGATCTAATAGCAGCATGAAGAAAGTCGAAAAACCTCCTGGACATGAGAGCATAGAACCCAGACGTCCACTTCGTGACCAAAGCATGCCAGCCAGGAGAGGCGAGAGGCAAGGTAGACCTGCACGGCATTCAAGCCTCCCTCCAGAGGAACCCAGGGCACAAAGAGGAGCGACACCAAGCAACTCCCGGTGGGCGAGGGACTCGACTCAACACAGACCCTCCATCAAAAAAAATAATCCCAAACCTGTTCGTAACATTTCAAAACCAGCACCAGAGGAAAAGATGTGTCGTTCTACAATGCGTGCCTTGGCCCAAGCTCAGGCCCAGACACAAGGAACCTCTGAAGGAAGTACACCTGACAGTCCCAACAACACCGTAAAAAGTTCTTCGCCTTTACCTAGTTTTGCTCGCAACACTGTGGCATCATCTTCCAGATCTAAAAAAGACTTGCCCTCACCAGCTGTAACAGGAACACCATCAAAAAGCTTATCCAGAACTAGCTCTCAGAAATTGCCTGGTGTTAAAACAGACTCTGTCAGTAGTGGACATTTGCTAAGGAGTGAGGATAAACTGGGGGGGTCTATTAGGAGGGTTCAAAGTGTAAGGGCTTCCAGTCGGAGCAGTGACACCCCTCCTCCACAGTCTGGACGAGAACACTCCCTCAAAAGTAGCAGTTTCTCGGAGAGATCCACACATATTAAAGACTCCATCGCGAACAGGGCCAACAAACCTACATGGAAGTAGAATGGACATCTTATGTAGTGGCTCGAAAAACAATGTTTAACGAAGAAGATCAAACTTTTCTGCACATACTAAAGTTACTAAAGAGGCACAGAAGCCTTTTAAATTATTATGAATGTATCTACAGCCTTTAAAATGTAGCTGAAGTCACTAGATGCTCACCAAGAGTTTGAATATTAACATGAGCTACTGTCACCATTTGACAGCACATTTAGTAGCACTTCAACATCCACACAAGGATGGTTTTGATGGCCTTTTTCTTACATGTACTTGACACATTATCAACTGTTACAGAAAAACACATCAATCACAAATTGTTCTTGTGTTAGATTAACCCTATATTTTATAATAGATATTAATTCTACAAAGACTATGTGAGCTGTTCTCACAAATTGCTGCGGACAAGACAATTATGTCATATATCCTTATGCTTGCTTTATTTTATATAAGATGTAGTAAAAGTAATGTAATACCATTTAATACAGTAACATTTCCATAAAAAAAAACGAATTAACAGTAATTTATCCACATTTCACTTAGCTGTTTTCTGTGCATGATGACAAATCACACTAAAGACTGTTTGATCAACATGTCTATGAATGTTATCCAATTACACCTTAGTCTAGCTGATGCAATGAGTACGTACTACAGCTAGTAGTTCGAAGATGCCTCTCCAGTGATGTTTTTGGAAATGTTCAAAATCTTTGCTGCCGAACTGCTTATTTTCAATTTGCCTTTTCATGCAGGGTACACACCGCTGTACTCTGTATTGCTGCTGATGACACTGTATTTGTGACGTTTCTGTGAATATGCTGATAACGCTTTCTTTTTAAAGCCATACTGTTAACCGGGAGTGGCAAAACCTGGTACTAGAGGAAAGGCTGTGAAGTGTCAGTTTGGCCCAAACTTTTGAGAAAGTACATTCGCTGTATGCATCAAATGTTCTCACAGTATCTGCTTGAAATTAAGAGGTAGTCAAAAAATTGTATTTACATACAAAAACATGTGTTGCTCAAAACTCAAAACAAATCAGTGTTAGAATAAGAGGTAACACTTTTACAGTATAGGTGGAAACACTAATTAATTCAATAAGAATTAAATCATATTATATATATATATATATATATATATATATATATATATATATATATTTATTAACACATTAGTTAATACAAAAGTACAATTAACATTAGTAAGTGTATTATGAAGAATCATGAAATAACTGAACAATAGTGATAAATTAACATGAATCTACTATAGATTAATACATACGATAAAAGCAGAAGTTCATTGTTAGTATTAGAGACGTAATGCATTCACTTACTAGTTAAATTCAGTTAAAACCAAATTCACCTTATTGTAAAAGTGTTACTGGTTAAGCATAATTAGTTTTGATTTATACAGTGGTAAAAGGCGTGCAATATGAACCAGACACCAAGAGTACTTTAATCCGAAAGAATATGGTTATGTAAATTCATAATTATTATAAATACAAAAATAAAAACGTAAACAATAATAGATAGGGTAATGCTTTTTTTACAGTGTCCTTGTTACATTTAGTTACTAGAAAGTATGCATAACTACATGCAACTAACCCAAACCAAATGTAATCCTAAACCTATAGTAAGTATGTAGTTGATTATTATTACTCAGTACAGTGTATAATTATTAATTACACTGTAACAAGGACACCTTAAAGTAAAGTGTGACCATAGATAGTTATCAGCTGATGGAGACAATACTGATTTCACAGGATGATAACAAAAATTGCCTAAAAATCCTGATTTCTACCTCTAGAATCATATTTGCCACCTCTGGTTCTTATATTCTGATGGCTCACTCATCAAGTGAATCATTGTCTTTTCACAATGATTCTGCAGGTGTACCTCAGTTACAATGTACAATGTACAACACCTTTTTATGTTCTTAGAAAAGTTTATGTGTTGACATATATGTATTTAGCACTGATTGGTTAACATGCTTTAGAATATATCCATGGCAACATGGTGAAGTCTGACACAATGGAATCCTTGTTCCAGCTGTAGTTAAAACTAACAAAATTGGAGCAAAATCACTTTAAGCTATAACTTTAAAATTAAAATAAAAGTTGCATTTTTCAGAAAAGGTCCAGTCAGAAAGTTTGGCATATGTGTCAATGTGTATATTTTATTGGTATTGCTTGAAGTTTCTATTTTGAATGATATTTCTAAGCCCTTTCATTTGTGATTGTAGAATATACACTCACCAGCCACTTTATTAGGTACCCCATGCTAGTAACGGGTTGGACCCCCTTTTGCCTTCAGAACTGCCTCAATTCTTCGTGGCATAGATTCAACAAGGTGCTGGAAGCATTCCTCAGGGAGTTTGGTCCGTATTGACATGATGGCATCACACAGTTGCCGCAGATTTGTCGGCTGCACATCCATGATGCGAATCTCCCGTTCCACCACATCCCAAAGATGCTCTATTGGATTGAGATCTGGTGACTGTGGAGGCCATTTGAGTACAGCGAACTCATTGTCATGTTCAAGAAACCAGTCTGAGATGATTCCAGCTTTATGACATGGCGCATTATCCTGCTGAAAGTAGCCATCAGAAGTTGGGTACATTGTGGTCATAAAGGGATGGACATGGTCAGCAACAATACTCAGGTAGGCTGTGGCGTTGCAACGATGCTCAATTGGTACCAAGGGGCCCAAAGAGTGCCAAGAAAATATTCCCCACACCATGACACCACCACCACCAGCCTGAACCGTTGATACAAGGCAGGATGGATCCATGCTTTCATGTTGTAGACGCCAAATTCTGACCCTACCATCCGAATGTCGCAGCAGAAATCGAGACTCATCAGACCAGGCAACGTTTTTCCAATCTTCTATTGTCCAATTTCGATGAGCTTGTGCAAATTGTAGCCTCAGTTTCCTGTTCTTAGCTGAAAGGAGTGGCACCCGGTGTGGTCTTCTGCTGCTGTAGCCCATCTGCCTCAAAGTTTGACGTACTGTGCGTTCAGAGATGCTCTTCTGCCCACCTTGGTTGTAACGGGTGGTTATTTGAGTCACTGTTGCCCTTCTATCAGCTCGAACCAGTCTGGCCATTCTCCTCTGACCTCTGGCATCAACAGGGCATTTCCGCCCACAGAACTGCCGCTCACTGGATGTTTTTTCTTTTTCGGACCATTCTCTGTAAACCCTAGAGATGGTTGTGCGTGAAAATCCCAGTAGATTAGCAGTTTCTGAAATACTTAGACCAGCCCTTCTGGCACCAACAATCATGCCACGTTCAAAGTCACTCAAATCACCTTTCATCCCCATACTGATGCTCGGTTTGAACTGCAGGAGATTGTCTTGACCATGTCTACATGCCTAAATGCACTGAGTTGCCGCCATGTGATTGGCTGCTTAGAAATTAAGTGTTAACGAGCAGTTGGACAGGTGTACCTAATAAAGTGGCCGGTGAGTGTACAATCAAAATAAGCTAATCAATAAAATACATGTGAAAAGTGCACTGAGAAAATTTCACTTTGCCAATTGTGAATTACAATGTGTAATTTTAGAAACTCCTGGGCGGGGGGATATTATTTAGCTATGGAGTTTGTTTTTGACAATGGTCACTTCTCTTTAGTTGAACCACGCCCAATGTTTAGTTGTGTGGGTGTGTGAGCACGAGAAAGAGATGCAAATGAAGAATAGTAAGGCAAAATAAAGAGGGAACCTATAAATCACCCAGATTAAAGCAAAAGAACCACACAAAACCCCTACTTTTTCAGTCTTTCTTTTTTACATGGCATACCTGCACCCACACAAGCTCAATGCACCTCTGTCTGGCCAAACGCCCTCATTTTATCCTACCGTTTTTTACATTTTCTCTACTAGAATGCCACCTGCTGTTCATTCTGTGAAGGAGCATAAACAGTGCTGAGAGTGCTGAGTGCTGAGTGCCTTTTCCCACCGTCTGACTTTTATAGTGGGCTCTATTCTAGCCCCTAAGTTACTATAGTGATGCCGTTCCAGTGGAGAAGTATTTACCCTTAAAGGGGTTTTCATTTGTATCACTCTAAATATCAAACTACAATTTAACTTAATGAAAACACCTCTGTCCATGGCACTTAAAGGGATAGTTCATCTGAAAACATTTTTGGTTACCATTGTCTTCTATTGTATAAACACTAAAACATTCCTCAAAATATATTGTTTTGTGCTCCACAGAAGAATACAAAACAGTCTTGGAACAACATAGGGGTGTGTAAATTGTGAAAGATTTTTTGACAGAATAATTGTTTTATGTGAACTACTTCAAAGAACTACTTTCAAATTTTTATTGAAAAATATTTAGCATTAAACAAAAGACACCAATGGAATTATACACTTCTTGTGTATGTCATCTGAGTTCTTATAATATAAAATAAATCCTTTCTGGATACTAAATACTTTATAGCTGAATACTGTTGAAAAGCATATGCACATGTTTGAGACATGTTGATATTTGGTTTGAGCTTGACCCTGAAAAATTTAGGAGTTCCTCGGTTAAAAATAGTGAGGTCATTGCATGGGTGACACATTATTATGACACAAAACACAAATCTATTAATAAACAGAAAGAAATCCTTCCTGCACAATTCGTTAAACAGTCATTTGGAATGCCACGTATATAGGATGAATTCTCACGGAATAGATGCAATGGCAAAAATTTAAAGCCCCAGGCTTTTTGAATTAAAGCCAAATGTGCCAATGTATTCAATTGTTTCTGCACGGGTAGTAAGGTGTAATCGCACCCAATGAAGAGAGACAAGTTGTAAAAGATGTTAAAAGATGGCACTTTGGCTGTGACAGTTTATGTTGTTATTTAAAAGACACTGAGTTGACTGTCTCTAAAACCATCCCAAGCAAACTGGGGGGTAATATAATCTCAGGCAGCTACTGATTCAGTACATCTAGTCTCCAGCAGGGGGAGCCATACCATAAAACAACCAAAATGATTCCCAAATCATAAACGACTCGAAACTGGGGGGCAAAATGCAATGTAAAAAGTGGGATAATAACTTTCTTGCTTGTGGTGGAATCAAATGATGATTGGGCATCACCGAAATCCATGGAACTGAAGAATGTGATGACAACCAGAAAAAGTGCTCAATCAAGCACTCTTCATGAGAATAATTGTACATTGTTGTTGACCACTATTTCAAAGTGTTGCATTCTGGCGTACCGTGTGGAGAATGCAATTGAAAGAGAAAGCATGAAGTTTGCTACTCCTGTGTCGTGTGCTTCATTAGTTAATATCTCCTGACAGACACCACAAGGAGGTCAACCTCAAGTAGGCCACATCTTTACAAGGCCTAAAAGCGGAGCCGTCCAAAATTCAAAGTCAACGACAAATATAAAACCAAAGGAAAAATCTTTTCAAAATCGAGTTTAAAATACTATATTCATATTGGTTTAATGTGGTTTTTTTAAATGACTCTAAAATGTCATGTGGTGCAACTCTCATGTAAAAACAAGTGACTGTACATTTAAAAAAAAATGAAAAAATACTTATGGTAGAAAAGGTATAGGCTACAGTATGATTGGCAAAAAGGAGCATCATGTTATTGAACCACAAGTCTGCACAACCAGTTGAAAAGAACACATTTAATCCTTAAACGCATATCTTGGGTTTTTAGTGACCCGGGCATCATTCATTACCCTTCTTCTCATTCCTTTTTTAAAGTTAGACATCAACCTTTTTGTATTCCTAAATCAATTCATTATAAACAAAAGAACAAGAATTTTTTTTTTTTTGTAAAACAGTGTAACAGTGTAGCCTATATAATATTCCACACAATAACAATTGAACATTTGATGACTGAATAAGAGCAACTTACCTTTATTCCACACTGTGGCAATGTCTGATAAACTATGATGAAGTGACATTTCATTCATAGTTACCACAGGCAGAAAACAAAAGCACAGGAATTTTTATCAGCAAAACTTGAAATGGCTCAGCAACTTCCTGCAGAGCAAGTACTGAACACGATCAACTATTAGTGTCACTGTCACTTGATGGTGGATCTGGTAGAAGCGGGAACGTTGCGTTTGAATGTGTCTGAACCATCTGAAACAAGTAGGCTACCTATACAGCTAACAGGGAACGTTCTCAGAACTCTCACTAACATTCTGGCAAGGTTCTCTCAAAGTTATAAACAAATATTTGTTTTGAAACCTTAATAAAATATTTCACAACTTTCATGTTTTCAAAACATTATTTATACATTGTTCATGGAACAATTTAATTTTTTTTTTACTATTTAGAACGTTCAGGGAACATTCAAAAGCAATATTCCCATAATGTTTGCCAAAATGATCAAATGGTTCCCTTAATGTTCACAGGCACAAAAAGTTAAAACATTTAAAAAACTGTATGTTGTATGTTGCAACATTACAAAATGTCCAGAAGAACATTCCATAAACAATGTATAAATATTTTTTTTTTGTGCTAACGTTTTGATAACATTATTAAAGACCACATAACTTGGTAACAAATATAACAACTAACATTGTATAATTTCAGATACCAAGTAATATGTTTCGTTCCACTTACTGTGATAGATGGTAGCTAACTGCTGTTATAAAAAATACAACGCATTCTCATCGGACATCATCTGACTGACACTTTTGACCATGCATCTATATGGCAACCTTTTTGCGTCAGTTAGATGATGCTCATCCTAAGGCGTCATCTAACTCAGAGGTCTCTCCTGGAGGCCCAGTGCTCTTCAGAGTTTATATCAAACCTGCTTCAGTCTGTGATTTCAAGTGATCCTGAAGAGCTTGACTAGGTGGTTCAGGTGTGTTTGATTAGGGTTGGAGAAAAACTCTGCAGGACAGTGGGCCTCCAGGAGCAGGGTTGAAGAACTGACGCTTTTGACCAAGCGTCTAAATCCGACGCACATGGCAACCTTTAGCATCAGTTAGCTAGATGACGCGGGTAGGTTTTGGTAAGGGGTAGGGTTAGACCACTAGGAGGCGCGTCTCATATCGACGCTAAAGGGGGCATATATATGCGTCGGATTTTGACACATGGTGAAAAATATGTAGTTATAGCTATAAAAAAATATAGATTACACTATTTATGAAAAGATCTATTGAAAATTTCTCTGTTTATGTATTTCACCACTGTTAGGGGATTTACAGTTAAAGATCCTAGGACCCGATATGATTAATTAGTTAGTGCAAGACAAGGAGTTAGAAGTGCAGTCAATTTAAGAAAAATGAAAGAAAAATAGTACTGAAGACAGTTTGTAGTTTCTTCAGGCAGAAGTCAGCTTCAAGATAGGAGTTCGTGGGCCATCCCACTTACAATTACACAGATCACAGAAGCTATACTCTACACCAAGGTCTAAACTATGTCATTGCTTCAGGTTGAATTATTCTGATTGGCTAAGAAATAGATACAGTAAACATACTAAAATTCCACAGATATCTGACAGATAGACTGAAGCATATCTACTGTAACCGCTAAGCTTAAAACAGCTGAGGGTTATGCAGAGGGTTGAAGTGGGCTATAGTTGACGCGCTTACCGTGGTCGATTTGGCTTGATTGAATAATGCAACAAAGCTTAAAGTTCGGTTTTCTTCTCTGTTGTGAGAGATTTATTGGATTTACACAAGGATTTCCTTTTCCATAACGGAACAGTATTCCATCTTCACCAACACTTTCACATAACAAAACATTCAACCACAGCCTCGGTGGCGGTCAAAAACTAGTTTACCCTTTTCCCTCTGGCACACCTGTCCTTGATTACAGCTAACCTCCTAAGTAGATGAGCCCCAATTGATGTGCCATAACCCTAGTGCCACCTAATGGCCAAACCTGGACATAAACATTGAAATGGCTCCTACAACACCGGCCCCCAATTGGAATGGTTAACAAACATTACAATTCAAAACAAACCAAATTAAGGAGCCATCCTGACATAACATATTATCCAACATTTGTTACAATGAGTTCACGCACATTAACACTGAAAATTTCCCATTTAACCTGCAGCCTCAAGCAAAAGGCAGAGCTTTGTAACAGGACGTTGAATGACACTCGACTTTGTTTGTAGACTCACTGAACGCACAAATCCCTTTTTATCCTGGAAAGCTTCCAACACTCTTCCTAGTGGCCAAGAACCTCGTGGGGCAGTAGGATCCATAATAACGACAACATCTCCAGGCTTCAGGTTTCTCCTGATTTCATTCCATTTTTGCCTCTCTTGCAGCAAAGGTAAATACTCCCGTATCCAACGTTTCCAAAAAAGTTCAGCAATATACTGGACTTGCTTCCATCTCCTTTTTAAATACAAGTCATGTGGCTCAAACAATCCTGGCGGCAATGATGGATTTCCTTTCATCAGAAGAATGTGGTTGGGAGTAAGTGGCTCCAAATCATTTGGATCATCTGAGAGTTTGGTGATAGGCCGATCATTTAGGATGGCTTCAGCTTCACACATAACTGTATGAAGCCCATCATCGTTCAGGGTCTGCTGTTGAAGAACTGAACTTAAAATCCTTCTCACCATGCGGATAACACGCTCCCAAACTCCACCATGATGTGAACCTGCTGGAGGATTAAAGCTCCACTTAACTCCCCTTTGCCGTAGAACTCTCTGAATTTTTCCATGATCCAAAGCTGCGAGAGCCTCTCTTAGTTCTCGCTCTGCTCCTATAAAGTTGGTTCCATTATCAGATATAATATGAGAAACTTGACCCCTTCTACAGATGAAACGTCGCAGAGCATTGATACATGCATCAGTGTTCAAAGAGTTAGCCACTTCGAGATGGATTGCTCTGCTTGCCAAGCAGGTTAATATCACGCCATAGCGCTTGTCTGTACCACGTCCTATCCTCACTGTAATTGGGCCAAAATAATCAATGCCAACGTTAGTAAATGGTGGTTTGTCAGGAAGAATCCTTTCCTCTGGCAAATCTGCCATTTTTTGCTCCTGCATCTTTCCATTATATTTCTTGCAACAGAAACATGTTGCAATGACCTTTCTTACAGCGGAGTTGGCGCTAGTGACCCAATACTTCTTCCGTAGTGTTGATAGCGTGTGATTCCGCCCACTATGGCCCTGCTGCTGATGAATGTGCTTGAGGATGAGAGTGGCCACATTTTGATCCTTGGAGAGGATTAATGGATGTTTAATCGACTCTGGCAAAGAACCTTTAGTCAGCCGCCCTCCAACTCTGAGAAGCCCATCATCCAAGCGCGGATCCAACCTATGGATTGTACTACGCCTGCTCACTGTAGATTTCCCAGCTGACAACATGGTGATTTCCTCTCCAAATCTCTGTTGCTGACAGTATCGAATGATAGCCAGCTCAGCTCCCATAAGGTCATCTATGGACAAATTTTGCCCTCCAGGCTTGTCCTTTAACCCTTGCCTCCTCCGTGGCACATTATTGTCTGTAGTCTGCTTACCAGCGACAGCAGATTTCTCCTCCCTCCTCCTGCGGCATTTTTCCAACAGGATGGTTTTCCATTTAAGTAACCAGGCTACTGCCACCTTGAGCTTACTCTAACTTGAGAAGTAAGTCAGTAACCGGTTTGTGGCATCAGGTAGGCCATCCACAGCCACAACATTTACTGTGACTTCCTTCTTGACCTCCTGATCATCTGGTTCCATGATAGTTTCTACCACATTTGTTGTCCAGTTAGCTTCTGGTTTACGCAAAAAACTTGGACCCTCTATCCACCTACGGCCATGAATAAAGTCTCCAGCCCTCACTCCTCTGGATGCCTCATCCGCTGGATTTTCCTTGGAACTGATGTATCGCCATTGTGAAGTTTTAGTGGCTCCTCTTATAGTCGAAACCCTGTTGGCCACAAATGTATGAAAACGTTTATCCTCGTTTTTTATATACTTCAACACAGACGTACTGTCGGTCCAAAAAATGGACTGCTGCAACTGGAATCTCAGCTCAGCCTTCAACAGCAGATCAACACGAATGGCAAGCACAGCAGCAGTCAGCTCCAGGCGAGGAATAGTAACAGTCTTTAAAGGTGTAACCCTGGCCTTGCCCATCAGGAATGCAACATGAATATCATTTCCTTCATTCAGCATCCTGAGATATGTGACTGCACCATATCCTGTTTCACTGGCATCTGCAAAGTGATGCAGCTGAGCATGTCTTGATTGTCCAAAGCCCTTGGGCTTAATACACCGATCAACCTTAAACTCAGACAGCATATCCAATTCCTCCAACCACCTGAACCACCGTTGCAAGATGTCTTGTGGCACAGTCTTATCCCATCCATAATTTCTTCTGCAAAGTTCTTGTAGCATGATTTTGGCAGGCAACACCACAGGTGCAACAAAGCCAAGAGGATCGTACACCGAACTAGCCACTGACAACATTCCTCTCCTGGTGACTGGCCTCTGCTGGATCTCCATTTTGAACTTGAACGAATCACTCTCAACGCACCATTGCAAGCCAAGAGCTCTCTCAAGAGGAAGTTTGTCTCTATCCAGATTCAGTTCAGTCAGATCTTTAGCTCTGTATTCCTCTGGAATAGTCTGCAGGGTGGTGCGACTGTTACTAATCCATTTCATCAGAGTGAATCCTCCTGCCTGACAGAGAGTAATTAAATTTTTGACCATAAAGGCAGCTTCTTCATCAGAGGGCATGCTCTTCAAACAATCATCCACATAAAAGTTCTCCTTTACTGTTTGAAGAACTTCGGCTGGAAATTCAGATTGATTATCAGCTGCTGTTTTTCTCAGAGCAAAGCTAGCACAACTCGGGGAGGACACAGCACAGCAGTCATACGAAACTCAGCTACCTCCTTGCTGAGATCTCCCTCTGGCCACCATACAAAGCGCAGGAAGTCTCTATCCTCCTTTGCAACTCTGACCTGATGGAACATTGCCTGTATGTCACCCATAACTGCTACAGGTTCCAGCCTAAACCTGAGCAGGACACCAAGCAATGTACTGGTCAAATTGGGACCTTGCAAGAGCTGCTGGTTCAAAGATGTTCCCTTAAAGGTCGCGCCACAGTCAAACACCACCCGCAGACTCCTCTTCTTGTGGTGACATACACCATGGTGCGGGAGATACCACACCCTACCACTATTGTGATCCAACTGCTGATCTGGAACTTGCTCTGCGTAGCCCAGACTGATCACCCTGTTGAGGTTCATTTTGTATTCCTCATAAAACTCTTTGTTATTAAGGAACCTCCTTTTCAGCCCGAGCAACCTTTGCTTTACTACCGAGAAGTTGTTGGGCAGAGAAACATTGTTCCTTTTAAAGGGCAGCTTCAAACTGTAATGACCATCGTCCAGTGTTACAGAATTTTCCATAATTTCCATGAACTTGATGTCTTCTACTGAAGGGCCTTTGTCCTCTGTAGCTCTTTCATTGAAATCATGATTGTACTGGCTGTGTAGCATTTCTTCCAATCGTCTCACAGAAATCCTGTTGACAACTACTGAAGAGGCCTCTGTTTCCAAACTGCTGTCATTAGACTGCAAAGGGCCATTAAGGACCCACCCCAATACCGTCTTAATTGCATATGGTCCTCCCCCTTGGCTGTTTATGACCTCCCAAGGTTCCAATATCCTGGGAGCATTGCTTCCAATCAATAGGTCGACATTAGCCTCTAAGCTGGGAATCTGTACTTTTGCCAGATATGACCATTTTGCCAACTCTTCTTTAGAGACAATACTGTCTGCACTTACAGGCATATTCTTCTGCGTGAGGACTTCTGGTAGCTTATAGAAAACATTACTATCCATACCAGACACCTCCAAGTCCGACAATAAATTTGCTGGCACGACCCTTTCCTGTCCCATGGTCTGTAACAGAAAATGTGTTCGTTTACCAGACAACCCAAGCCTTTGCATGAGATGTTCCGAACAGAAAGTGGCTGAACTGCCGGGGTCCAGAAATGCATAAGTTTGTACTACTCTGCCTCCTTTGATAGATTTGACTTGGACTGGCAAGATGGAAAGGAGGCAGCGATCACTTCCGACCCCTACACGGCCACAGGCTTCTTTAGATGCTGTGGTGTTGGGTCTCACAAGCTCCTTAGATCGCTCCATGTATGCATTGGCTTTGTCTCTCTTGTCGACATGAAGCACACTAGGATGTGCTTGACCGCAAATCCCACAGGTTGCACGCTTTCCACAACTGCGACTCATGTGCCCAGCACATAAACAGCCAAAGCAAAGCTCTTTCTCCTTTAGAAAGGTTATTTTATCCTGGTGCTTCTTCCCTTTGAACTGTTGACATTCCTCCAAAGAGTGACTTTGCGAACAACACACACAAATTGATCTAATAGTAGAACCATTTTCTGGCAAGACAGTCTTTCTCTCTCCAAAGCCCCTTGCTGAATGTACAGGGGCAATAGTGGTGGCAAAACTGTTTCCTTTAAATCTTGTGCCTGGCTGCAACTTCAGCCCAATGACCTTAGCACCACCTGTTCCTGGTGCCGAGTCCCGAATATCGCCAAATAAAGGGTCTGACAGAATATGGACATGTTTCTCAATGAATGCCACCAAATCCTTGAACAGAGCTCTGCGGTCAGATGTATGCATTATGTTATGTGCCGCTGACCTCCATTGCTCCCTCAGCTTGAATGGGAGCTTAGACGTGACTGTTCTCATGTTGCTTGTCATGTCTAACTCCTGCATATGTTGTATGTTCTCCATGACATTACAGCATGAGCGCAGAAAAAGTGAATAGGCCTGCAGTGCATTGACATCTTCTGCCCTTATAGATGGCCACGCAAAAACCCTTTCCATATATGCAGAGGCAACCTTATACTCGTTGCCAAAGTGTTGTTTAAGCAGCTCCTTTGCTTTAACATAGCCTAGATCAGCTGCCATGTGCTGGCAGCTTCGTACCAATTCCCGTGGCTGTCCTCTCGTGAATTGTTCCAGGTAATATAAACAATCACTTTGACTAACCTTATCCTCCACTACCTGCTCAAATGCTCGCATAAATGAAATATATTGAAGAGGATCCCCATCAAATAAAGGAATCTCTCTTGCAGGCAATAACATGAAGCGCTGCTGTTGGACCAATGCAGTAGTTATTTCGTTTTGCCTTTCCATTATGGAACAGATGTTCCCCCGCTGCTGTTCCTCTAATGGCTGAGCATTGAATGAGTGGGGTCCCAAACTTTGTGGTGGTACAATATGATGACCGTCCTTTTGAGAACCAATCCTTTGGTTTAGCCCAGGCTGGCTTTGTTGACTAGACTGCTGTGTTAGCCTAGCTGTAGGTTGTGGATTGCCAATTGGCAATGCCCAATCCTGGCCCTGCTGTGCTTGGTGGTGGTTTACAGGCCTGTATTCCTTTGCCATAGGATTGAGCGCAGTAACATTTGCTGGTCTTTTGCTTTTACTCATATAAGAACTCATTCCATTAGATGTGGTACTGATGTCAGAGGCAGAGGCCAGCACTTCCAGTTTGGCATTGGAGGCAGCTAGCATAGCTTCCAGCTCAAGTTGCTCTCTTCTCCTTTTTAGTTGTTGCTCCTGTTCCTCCAATGCATGCCGTTCCTTTAAAGATGCAGCCTGAGCAAGCAGTGCAGCTCTTTCTGCCTTTTCCTTTATTCTTGCTAGTTAGTAGATTTTCCACTACGAGAACTCCTCCTGCTTGATTGCTTGCTAGAAACATTTGAGATACTGTCCTCTGGCCTGATATCATCATTATTCTGCTCATGCCTTTTACCTTTTTGAGAACCTTTTTCATCCCCACATTCATTACCTTTATTACCTTTTTTTAATTGAATAGCATTTAACCAGCGGTTTACCTCAGACAGCATTTCATCATTGCAAATCATTTTTGCTTTGAACCAAATATCATGTTTTTCCCTTTCACCCTCAGGTAATATGACCAGCAAGGAATCATGAACACATTTTGCATCATCACACAAATCAACAAGAGCACTCATTGTACATTGTACACCTTCTTTATCACTTATTTGCATAAGCTCTTTGATTTTCTCCCTTAGCTTAGAAGCCTTATTTAATTTAGCCTTCCTATCATTTTGCAGTCTTTCCAGCTTTTGTTCAAATGCCTTTGCAGTTAATGTTACAACACGTTTTTCCTTTTCTTTTAACACACCCGGACCATCTGCTTTACTGTTACATTCAGCTGATTGCGCAACCGCCTCAGCAGCTGACACGTCTTTTTCAAGTAAACTCATAGTGCACTTGAACGTCACCACGTAATCAATTGTCAATGTAATTTGTTGTCAATACAAAGTTACCGTTCAGTTCTTTCTTTACCAATGCATTGGATTTTTTACGCCCGGGTAATTATAATAGTGTGCACACAACTCATGAATGGCCATTCAATTACTTTGTAGCGCTACAACATACCTTACGTGGGGCGCCTTGTAGATGAAGAACCGTTTCACTTTGTCCTCACATTGGTGAATGATGAAAGAAGTTTATCGTTGTCCTCAAACAGTTGCATAGATTGGTTCCGTGCTGGCTGAGCACCGCCGCGTCACATCACCGATGCTGGGCTGAGCGGGTAATCTCCCCGCTGACTCCGTTTCAGCCTGTCCTCTCGCCGGGTTCCGATGTGTAACACAGCCGGGCAGATACACGATGAGTAGCTTTCAGATGTCCCCTTTCCAGCGTCCACTCCGCATGTCTTTAACGGTGGACATCTAACTCCACACGCGACGATCTTCCCGCTTCATAAAAGGTAGTTTTTGACTTTTTGTAACCGCTAAGCTTAAAACAGCCGAGGGTTATGCAGAGGGTTATAGTGGGCTATAGTTGACGCGCTTACCGTGGTCGATTTGGCTTGATTGAATAATGCAACAAAGCTTAAAGTTCGGTTTTCTTCTCTGTTGAGAGAGATTTATTGGATTTACACAAGGATTTCCTTTTCCATAACGGAACAGTATTCCATCTTCACCAACACTTTCACATAACAAAACATTCAACCACAGCCTCGGTGGCGGTCAAAAACTAGTTTGCCCTTTTCCCTCTGGCACACCTGTCCTTGATTACAGCTAACCTCCTAAGTAGATGAGCCCCAATTGATGTGCCATAACCCTAGTGCCACCTAATGGCCAAACCTGGACATAAACATTGAAATGGCTCCTACATCTACAGTCATACGGCTGCCACCAGGACCCTGAGTTAGGTACGAGCGGCCTTCCGAGGTCCTGTCTAGGTGGCAACATGATCAAGAAAACAAGTCAGTCAATCTCCAATAATGCCACTTGTTCCTCAACCTGTAACCAAGAATACTAACACACAAACAGCTTCTTCAAAGTTGGATTTGGTCTTCTAAAAAAAAATCCATAGGTATAACATGTTATTTTTCTCAGTATTTCTCACACTTTAATCTAACAGTAAAGTAAAGACCCTTGTAAGTTGTCATGGTGAGCTAGAAGAACATGTAAATGTATTTATTTATTTATTTATTTATTTATTTTTTTACACACTGAAGACCTTTCTCAAACAAAACATTCCATATTTCAATTCTGGAAGCAAGGCTAAGCAAACACCATTAGTAGGCTACATGGTTGTCACGGTGTGGTGTAGGCTGAAGAAGATGAAGTGACAAAAAGCTCCAAGACAAACTTTTACTATAAAGTGTACTCCAACGGGTATAGATAGGCAACTGAGAACAGACAAAGATTGGCTGAACTGAAAGGAACTACAAACTCTGATGAACACAGATTAACATACAGTATCCATTTCACAAGATGTAAACAACACTGGTCCAGAAACACTTCCTGTTTCAGTTTGTAACTGTTTTC